ACGTGCTTTCGAACTGCTAGGTGGAAAGGAGCAGGGACCGAGCAACGGGAGCTCACCCTGTCGCGGGGATTCGAACCGCCGACCTTCCTATCGGCAAGCCCTAGGCTCTGTGGTTTAACCCACAGCGCCACCCGCGTCCCCCCGAGTCATAGTCCCACTCTATTCTACCTTGGTCAGACCACACCTGGAATATTGTGACCAGTTCTGGGCGCCACAATTTAAGAAGGATGTTGACAAGCTGGAAAATGTGCAGAGGAGGGTGACCAAGATGATCAAGGGTCTGGAAACCATGTTTTATGACAGGCTTCCTCAACCTCAGCCCTCCAGATGTTTTGAGACTACAATTCCCATCATCCCTGACCACTGGTCCTGCTAGCTAGGGATCATGGGAGTTGTAGGCCAAAAACATCTGGAGGGCTGAGGTTGAGGAAGCCTGCCTTATGAGGAACGGTTGAAGCCTGGAAAAGAGGAGACTGAGAGGAGATATGATACCCATCTTCCAATATCTGAAGATGGAGCAAGATTGTTCTATCCTGCCCTGGAGAGCAGGACTTGAACCCAGGGCTTCAACAGCAGCAGCAAGACTAGGTCATGCTAAGAATTGGGAAGAAAAAGCTGTCCCAATGAAAGAACAATGGATGTATAAATTGACAGAGTTTGCAGAATGAGCAAATATGACAGCCAAACTAAGGAACTGGGGTGAGAGGCAAACAAGGGGCGAATGGGAATACTTTGGAGAATACTTAAAAAGAGAGGATATTAAAACCAATCTGCAAGTAGGGATAATCTCTTGAGCAACAATTAACAAAACGAAGGAACTGAGGGAAAGGAAACAGGGTAGAGAAATTAACGGATATTCAGCCAACTAAGGTCGCCTAGAAAGTCAAGGAGTGATAGGCGGGGAAGTTGGTATAGAAACAATGTACGACGAAAGATGTACGATGTGGAAAATGCAAAGTGGAAAATGTATTTTTAAAAAATTACAGCGAGAGAGAAAGATACAATCCATCGTTTTATTGTGTGTAGCCAAAGGCCTTTGCAACGAACAGCAGAGGGCAAGAGGAACCACACAACATAACCTATAAAAGTTTACAGGATAAAAAATTTACAGGATAAAGTTTTGAATTAGAAAGCATTAGCATAGCCGGAACGGAGCTTCACAGCTGCCAGAGCAAATTTGACTACCGGGTCTGTAATTTGTGGATCTTTATCAGCTAAGAATTTGACAGTCACTTCATGGGGGGGAATCCACCGGAGAACCAGTTAAGAACAGGCAATAAAGAATTTTCTCTGGGCATTGCATATATGGGAGAGAGAAAGATGGAAAGATGCGAAAAATCAAATGGGCACAACCAAGGAAAGCAATGTATAAGTCCATTTTAGTGTCCTGTTCAGAAGCCTATGCACTATGTGGGTGTTTTAGGACGTGGGCACGATTTGCCCCCAATTCAGGGCACAGAACGGCCTTCAGGTCTGCGCTTGGACCGAGTGACCTTCAGGCTAGTTTCCAGACCGGCCGTTTGCTGAAAACAAGAGCTAACATTCCGCGGTAATCTTTGTCGGCAAACACGGCGAGATGGGGCCATAACACCGCCAGGCCCCTTCTCTATTTACAGCAAAAATCCAGACCAGAGATAAGGACGAAAATAAAGCCTAGAGATTATTGTCTTTGCCTAGTTCCCCTTTTCTCAACCGCCCCCCACCCCACAAAGACCCCCCACCAACCTGCTGCTTGGATAACATGAACATGGACGCTCTGGTTTAGAGAGCATCTGGCCACTCACCGGCTTTTTAAAGGGGTCTGCTTTAAATTAGGAACTTATTTGGTTTTCAAAATATCCGTAAGATGCATTTCCATACAAAAATAATAAGAAGAAGACTAGGAGATTCCAGCTAAACATCAGGAAGAACTTTCTGATGGCAAGAGCTGTTCAACAGCGGAGGTGGTGGCAAGCAGGCTCTGTGGCGCAATGGATTAGACTTCTAGGCTGGGTGAAGTCATTCAAAGGTTGTGGGTTCGAGTCCCACCAGACTCACGTTTTGTTGGGCTTCCAACAACAACAAATTTTTTATACCCCGCCCATCTGGCTGGGTTTCCCCAGCTACTCTGGGCGGCTTCCAGCTGAATATTAAAAACAATACAGCATCGGACATTAAAAACGTCACTAAACAGGGATGTCTTTTAAAAGTAAAATAGTTGTTTATTGCCTTGACATCTGCTGGGAGGGTGTTCCACAGGGCAGGCGCCACTACTGAGAAGGCCCTCTGCCTGGTTCCCTGTAACCTCACTTCTTGCAGCGAGGGAACCGCCAGAAGGCCCTCGGCACTGGATCTCAGCGTCCGGGCAGAATGATGGGGCTGGATGATGGGGGTGGAGACACTCCTTCAGGTATACAGGACAGAGGCTTGACAGGTTAGCACCAACAATTTGAATTGTGCTCGGAAATGTACTGGGAGCCAATGAAGATCTTTCAGGACTGGTGTTATGTGGTCCCGGCGGCCACTCCCAGTCACCAGTCTAGCTGCCGCATTCTGGATTAATTGCAGTTTCCGGGTCACCTTCAATGGTAGCCCCATGTAGTGCGCATTGTAGTAGTCCAAGCAGGAGATAACCAGAGCATGCACCACTCTGGCGAGACAGTCCGCGGCCAGGGAGGGTCTCATCCTCCGTACCAGATGGAGCTGGTAAACAGCTGCCCTGGACACAGAATTAACCTGCGCCTCCATGGGCAACTTTAAAAGAAGCAAAAATAAACAAATAACAGCGGAGGCGGTGTTCTCTCCTTCCTTGGAGGTTTTTAAACAGAGGTTGGATGGCCACCTGTCGTAGATGTTTCGCTGAGATTCCTGCGTTGCGGGGGTCAGACTAGATGACCCTTGTGGATCCCTTACAATGCTAAGATTCTGTGATTGCTGCAATACCATCAATAGCACAAATAATCATGATAGCCCAGTGCAAAGAACATCAGCAGGGGCCCTAATTCAGCGGCCCAAGTCGTTTTGTTGCTGTTAAGACAGTTGGAATTTGGAAACCTTTGCCTGATCTATTGCAGATCACTCAGAGATCTGTCAGTAGATCCCACTCTGCCAACCCCCGATCTCTACCTGATTCCTGTCTGCTGGGCTGGCACAACTCTGCGAAAGGGCGCCGAATTTTGCAAGTGACTATCGGGGGGGGGGGGGGAATGGAAAATATTTTTACAGAGCATTAGGTATCTGGGAGTCCTTCGTATCATCGGATTTTTCACCTTGGCTGCTGCTGTCAAATTGTTGTTTAGTCGTGTCTGACTCTTCGTGACCCCCTGGACCAGAGCAGGCCAGGCACTCCTGTCTTCCACTGCCTCCCGCAGTTTGGTCAAACTCATGCTGGTAGCTTCGAGAACACTGTCCAACCATCTCGTCCTCTGTCGTCCCCTTCTCCTTGTGCCCTCCATCTTTCCCAACATCAGGGTCTTTTCCAGGGAGTCTTCTCTTCTCATGAGGTGGCCAAAGTATTGGAGCCTCAGCTTCAGGATCTGTCCTTCCAGTGAGCACTCAGGGCTGATTTCCTTCAGAATGGAGAGGTTTGATCTTCTTGCAGTCCATGGGACTCTCAAGAGTCTCCTCCAGCACCGTAATTCAAAAGCATCCATTCTTCAGCCATCAGCCTTCTTTATGGTCCAGTTCTCACTTCCATACATCACTACTGGGAAAACCATAGCTTTAACTATACGGACCTTTGTTGGCAGGGTGATGTCTCTGCCTGGACCCAAACAAGGGACTCGCTGGTTTGCAGCTACACGCCACTAACTTGGCCAAGTCACACACTGATGGGAGGCGCAGTCTATCTGGAGGCCAGACCAGGATGGTGAAGGCTGAAACAGAGGGCGCACAACAGCAGCACCCTTGCCACATCCAGCGAACCGTTGTGCAAGCCGCAGCCGGTTGCTGGGTTCAAGCACCACTGTGCAACTCGAGCAAGAGGCGCAGGACGGACATCTTGACTGAGAAACACATCCTCTTCTTCCTCCTCTTCCTCCTCCCAGCTCTGAGGCTGCCGAAAGGCTCTCGGAAGAGTTTGGGGGCGAGAAATGAAGTCATCGCGAAACCACTTCCTGGCAACCACGTTCCCTTGAAAGCCAGCGGGTGGAATCTCCTTCCAAGTTAAAAGGCGCCTGTAGAGGTCAGGGCTGTCGCCGTGCCCCTTTTAGGGTGTGAAAAATTAAAGACCCCCTCAAAACCCCTCATAGTACTCTGTGCACAATGCTCACTGTTGCTTCCTTTTCTATCTTTTTTCATTTACTGATATTTTCTGTAATATCTGTATTTTGTCTGTTGCTCCAAAGCTCTGCTGTCAAACTGGTGCTGAATTTACTTCACAATGTCTTACTTCGGCTTGTTTGCTTATGAAATGATTGCAAGCTCTAATTTGCTTGGGTTGCGAACACGATCCGTGCGGGATGCACGTTCAAAACCCGCAGCGTTCGCAACCTGCAGCGGCGCACACATGGGTTGTGATTCAGTGCTTCTGCACATGCGCAAAGTGCGATTTAGTGCTTCTGCGCATGCGCGACCCCCAAAACCCAGAAGTAACCGGTTCTGGTACTTCTGGCATAGCTGTCAACTTTTTCCTTTTCTTGCGAGGAATCCTATTCGGAATAAAGGAATTTCCCTTAAAAAAAGGGAAACGTTGACAGCTATGACTTCCGGGTTTCAGCGGGTCCATAACCCGAGAAAACGCAACCTGAAGCGTCTGTAACCCGAGGTATGCTTGCACTGCAGTGAAGGCAAAGGGAGAGGGTATCCCCTTTGCATGAAGATGCTCTGTCTGGAGTTCATTCCCCAGCATACCCAAGGAGCGAGGGGGAATCTCCCTGGCCAGCTGCTGCCAGCCAGTGTAGACAAAACTGAGTTGGGTGGACGAGTGGTCCGTTATATGGCAGCTTGCTCCCAGTGTTCCTAAGCTGAAACCCAGCGCTGTCCACAAAGACCTCCTTTGGACTGGCAGCCCCTCTTGCTGTGTACAGGAATAGCTCGGTTGGCAGAGCATGATGCTCTTAATCTCAGGGTTGCGGGTTCGAGTTCCGCGTTGGACAAAAGATTCCTGCATTGTACGGGGTTGGACTAGATGACCCTCGGCTCCCTCTTCCAAGTCTATGGTTCTATCAGATCTTGAAGGCAAGCCCCAATTGCTAACTGCACTCCTGAGATCCAGAGGGAAGGTTGACCACAAGGGCAGCAGCTCAATAGCGGCCCCTGCAGGTGGAGGAACGAAGGAAGAACAACCGCCACCATCTGCCCAGATGAGAACGGGCTCCTGTGCCCACCATTCATGGCTGGCTGCTGTGCCACACTAGTATATCAAGGGTTTGCCACAGCCAAATCGTTTCCCGATACTTCTCTCCCAGCCTTGGCACCCATAAAAGCTCCCAGAGGGCAGAAGAGGCGGGCGGCTGGTTCAAAAATCTGCATCTACTTCCCCATCAATTTCCTCATTCTCAATTTACCACTTCTTTCTCTGCCTTGAGTCTAGGCTCCCAAGTCTCCCGGTTCCCAAACATATTTTTCGCTCCATAGGGCGCACCGGACCATAGCGCGCACCTAGTTTTTAGGGGGGGATAAAGAATTTTTTTTTATTCCCCCCCAGCCCCAAAGAGCAAAGAAGCCAAGACAGCGAGCAGGATCCATCCCGCTGGCTGTCTTGGCTTCCTCTTTAGCCACATGCATCCTCTCCAGCCGGCAGAGGCTGCACGCGGCTTTGGCAGAAGCCAAGACAGTGTGCGGGATGGATCCCGCTTGCTGTCTTGGCTTCATTTTTAGCCACGGGGCTGGGGAAGCCTGAGCTTCCCCCGACCCCAGCCCCCAGAACAGGTCCAGGAGCGGCAGCAAGGTTGCGCACAGCCTTGCCGTCGCTCCCGGAGCTTGCGGGGCTGGGGGCGCGCTCCAAAGGTTTGCGGATACCTGCCTGAAGCCCGGGGAGCCCAGAGGGAGACGGCAGTGCGCTCCCCGGGCTGCAATCCGCAAGCCTTCAGAGCCCGGCGGGAACTCCCCGAAGGCTTGCGGATAGCTGCCTGAAGCCTGGAGAGCGAGAGGGGTCGGTGCGCACCTTCCCCTCTCACTCTCCAGGCTTCAGCGAAAGCCTGCATTCACTCCATAGGACGCACACACATTTCCCCTTCATTTTTGGAGGGGAAAAAGTGTGTCCTATAGGGCGAAAAATACGATACACCTCAGTAGGATTGCCTACAATCAACTGATCACCCCAGCCAGACTGAACATTTCCCCTTTCCTCACACAAACCGGGCTGCAAGCATTCAGGCAGCTCTGTTCTCAGAGCCGCTGGAAGGTTTTGTGGCTTCTCACTCAGAAGTGCAATGCGAGAGAGGCTGCCCATCGCAAACTGGACAAGGCCCAGCACAAGGAAGAACGTTTGAGAGAAACACGCAGAGCTCAGGGGCAGGTCACACGCTTGGCATGCAGAACGTCCCTGAAGAGAAGCAGCCAAGAATAAAAACATCCACAGAAAGTTTAAGAACCTTCAGGGGAAGGAAGCCTCAATGTCAGCCAATTACCCATCATATCCAACGTCCACTGAAAAACCGGGTGTTAATAGGAATCAGGACTCGAACCGTGGATTTTAGACACACATCTCTGAGCATGTACAAAGTGCCTTCTGCGCGGATAGCTCTCTTAACGCAGGCAATCAAGCAGTTTCACAATGCAGGCTAAGCACACAAGACAGACCAGTTCCAAGCCAACACCGCTGACCAGGCTTTGCAGATTAAACGCTTTATATAAATACCTTCAATATATACATCATCAAAGTTGGAAGGGAGCCCCCCCAAGGTCATCTAGTCCAACCCGCTGCAACGCGGGAATAGGTAGCTGACCAAACCTGAAACCTTGGCATTACCAGCAGCACGCTCTACCCAACACGGCTCAGAAACACAAGCTGAAAAATCAACCGGATGCCAAAGACATGAGAGGGGTTATTTCCCAGGCAAGGGTCCTTTGGGACTCCTTGCAACATCCCGACGCAGCCGGGTCGCTTGGGAGAGAGCGGAGAGCAGGCTGCAGTCAGCTGAGACAGGTGGCTTCAGCGGCCGCTGCCGAAAAGCGGACTTTGGTGGAGGTTTTTACCTGGCTGGGCACGGCCGGGAGGTTTGGCAAAGCCGCTGAGGACTCCATCCCCAGCTGGAGGAGGGAGGAGGGACAGCTAGGAAAATAGGAGCAGCCGAAAATCCATGCAGGCGGCAGGTTTCAGGACGGTGTAAGCTCTCAGAGGCCAGATAGCGAAGGAGGTTGAGAGAGCGACAAAAACAAGAAAGCAGCTTTGACAGAGCAACACTTCTTGTGTAAAAGGAAACGTCAAGTCATTATAACCGACAAGACTTCCTTTCCGCGCTGCAAACGAACCACCGCAAAAAGAAACACACACACCACAACCTTGTCTCTTGAGAAAAAGAAACCGTGCCAAACAGAAAAAGTCTCCTTTGCTCACACAATTTCTGGTAGCTAAATACACACACAAACACACAAGTGCACTCCCAAAAATTTACACTCGCAAGCTCGTTCGCACATTACTTTTATTGTGGATGTGAGTTGCATGCAGAGACCGAGCTGCTTTTGAGAATTCGATTCCCTGGGTCTATCGAAAGGGACCGAGGAAGTGTTTGCACATCTGAGGTAGAGATCAGCGCACTGTTTAGGAATCGTAGGTACCGAGATCCCAAAGGAGCAGAAAAGACTTTTTAATGTACGCGATGACAGCCGCACGGCTGCTGCTAGCCCAGAGATGGAAAGATGATAAAGTCCCTACTAAATGGCAAACTAAGCTGGTTGAACTGTGCCGAAATGGCAAAACTGACCCTAAAGCTCAGGAACCTAGAAGACCAGAACTTTAATAAAGAATGGGGAAAATTTACAATTTACTTGAGAGACGACTGTAAGAAGATGAAAACATGAGCAGGATTGCAGTAACACTTGTAACATGGAAAATAATATAGATAAAAACGGAGAGATACAAAAACTGGAGGATGAAATAATATGTACAGTGGTACCTCGGGTTACATACGCTTCAGGTTACAGACTCCGCTAACCCAGAAATAGTGCTTCAGGTTAAGAACTTTGCTTCAGGATGAGAACAGAAATCGTGCTTCGGCAGTGCGGCGGCAGCAGGAGGCCCCATTAGCTAAAGTGGTGCTTCAGGTTAAGAACAGTTTCAGGTTAAGAACGGACCTCCGGAACAAATTAAGCACTTAACCCGAGGTACCACTGTATGCAGTTGAAAGGACCCACTTTTTCTGGGATTTGATGAGTGAGAAGGACACGGAAGTTTTTAGCATATGCGCCGCCAGGGAGCAAAAATCCGCCCAGCGCCCCCAAATCGTTGAGTCTGACAAGCGCCACCGTTGTGAATGACAAGCGTCGCCTCTGGCGTGGCGTATCTTTGGTAAATGAGTGCACAAAGTCGATACATTCCAGTAATACCTAGGTATATATGTATTTTGTTTTTCTGGCTTGGTCAAAATGATTTATTATTTCATAACAGGTAGACAGTTAAGAGCCTAGGCCAAGCATAGGCAAACTCAGCCCTCCAGATGTTTTGGGACTACAACTCCCATCATCCCTAGCTAACAGGACCAGTGGTCAGGGATGATGGGAACTGTAGTCCCAAAACATCTGGAGGGCTGAGTTTACCTATGACTGAACTAGATTATACTCAGAATAGACCCATTCAAACGAAGGGACCCAAGTTAATTTATGTGGGGCTACTCCAAGCGTTGGCCGTTTTGAAAGCGGCGGTGTGTTTTGCGTGTGAACTTCTGTAAAGTTCTTCCGAAGTCCTAAACTCTAGATGGATGATCTATTCCTCTTAATAGATAAAGGTAAAGGGACCCCTGACCATTAGGTCCAGTCATAACCGACTCTGGGGTTGTGGCGCTCATCTTGCTTTACTGGCTGAGGAGACGGTGTACAGCTTCCGGGTCATGTGGCCAGCATGACTAAGCCGCTTCTGGCGAACCAGAGCAGCGCACGGAAACACCGTTTACCTTCCCGCCGGAGCGGTACCTATTTATCTCCTTGCACTTTGACTCGCTTTCGAACTGCTAGGTTGGCAGGAGCAGGGACCGAGCAACGGGAGCTCACCCCGTCGCGGGGATTCGAACCGCCGACCTTCTGATCGGCAAGTTCTAGGCTCTGTGGTTTAACCCACAGCGCCACCCGCGTCCCCATTCCTCTTAATACCCCACCATATTTCCTACCTAGATTTGAATCCTCACTTTATTATTCAGGGGTGATGGGAATTGTAGTCTCACAACATCTGGAGGGCCGAGTTTCCTATGCCTGGCCTGGGCGGCTTCAGCAGTGGGCATCCCCCAGAATTCGGCACCTGGGTGCCACTCACCCCTTGCACCCCCGAGTAAAGACGGCCCTGGAGAAGGATAGGAGAGGGTGGTCCAGAAACCATGTGGTTTCTGAATAGGTAGGACTCTCCTTAAACCCTGCCAGTCATCCTGACCTCGACGGACCATTGCTTTGACCCCCTAAAAGGCAACTTCCAGTGTCCCTACGAAAGCATGGCCTAGCTTTTGCCTCGCTCTTTGTGGCTTTCAAGAACACAAGCTTCCTGGTGTTGGGGACGCAAGAGTCATCTGCCACGGGCTCTTTTGACCATCATCTCCGGCACTTGACCCATGCCAATGGCCCCATTACGCAGCCAGGAACATCGAGGACCTCCAAAGCCTGGCTATTTTGGGGCTCTCACAGTGAGCCACTAAAGCCTCAGACTCGCAGGAAAGGATGGAGCATGGAATCACAGAATTGCAGTCAGTGGGGACCCCAGGGGTCATCCAGTCCAACCCCCTGCAATTCAGGAATCTTATGCCCAACCCAGGGGTCGAACCCACAACCCTGAGGTGAACAGTCGCATGTTCTACCGACTGAGCCATCTCAGTCCATTCCTACGTATGTACGAGATTAAAGCTTGTCAGGTTGCACAGAGTCCCATTTCCCTTTGGTAGTTTGACACGTCCATTTTCCTGCTTAACCCAACCGTCCACAACCGGGTCTTTTCAGCAAAATATCCTGCATT